TCAACAGCGACTTTGAAGGTTAGGTAAGAGTCTAAAATTTCTTTGGATGGAACATGGTAAAGAGGGAAGTGGCATCCCTCATCTGGTTAACAGATGCTTATTGTGCAGAATAACATGCACTATTCTTTGAATTCCTGATACCTAGAAACAAAAAAGCTTCTTCAGCTTTCAAGAATCTCATAGTCTTTGGGATTTATGGGAAGGTATTCGGCTCCTAATTGGGGGGAGGGAGTAGGGATAAAGACACACACACACACACACACACACACACACACACACACAGAGGAGTGGGGGGCCGGGGTGGAGGAGATAGGACAGAAACAGAGACAGAAAGAAACTGCATTTGTCCATGTTTTCCTTGGAAATTTACTTCCAGTCACCAGATTCATACACTTCCCGTAGAGTTCCTGCTGTTGACTACAGCCAGATCACACATTCTCTCTCTCTCTCAAAAAAATTTATGAAAATGTTTCAGACACACAGAAATTATAAAGGATTGCATAACAATCACCTATGTACCCACTGCCCAGTTTATGCAATGAAGCAGGCTGCCCCTTGTGTTCCCTTCCAATCACATTCTCCTCCTTTCCCTGGTCCGTTCTCTGGATGAAATCGCTATCCTAAGATTTTTCTAGATCGTTCCCATGACTTTCTGGCAGTTTATTACATATGTACATATTTCTGCTTAGTACGATTTTGCATCTTTTTGAACTATGTATATATGCATATTTATTGCATAGAAATACATTGCATTTCTTATTTCTATATAAGAAATTGTGAGCTTAATCCATGTAAATAAGCATGACTCTAATTTCACGCATTTTCACTGCTGTATGGTGTGCAGTTATATGAATGTGCTAGTTATTAAGCTGTTGTCACTCCGCTCCAAACCCACGCTTCTCCATTCTTCTTGATGGTGGGCTAGGACTAGGCATACCTGTTTCTCCTTTGCCTCCTGGCTCCCTATTAGACTCTGCCGATAGGGGGCACTAGAGGAATACGGAAGGTTGGAAGAGAGGCGCCAGGACTTTCTGTTTGCTCATCTATCACAATTGTCCCATCCACCCAGGGGCTGTAGTTTGTTCGGGTAGCAGAAGCCTCTAATTTTCAGTTTGTTCCCATTCTCTACCAGCACCAGCCATTGCCTCCTCCAGAGATTAGAGTCCTAGCTCCCTGGGGATCCGCCTCTCGGGATCTGGCTCTCAGCTCCACAGGCTCCTCTGGAAAGCTTCCAACCCCTCACAGCCTCTCTTCCCTCTGGTCTCAAACACAGGAGTGGTAGCTGTTTTCTGCAGTTCTCTTTGCTACCCAAGGGTTCCTTTCATGTCCTTCATTCATCAAATACCTCTTTAACCAAATCCCTATGTTAAATTCTCTTAAAATAATTGGTGTAGATTCTGTTTTCCTGGTTGCCTCTTGTCTGGTACATTGGTGGAAACAATATTCATGTGTCCTTTCACCTATTGATGAATATGGTGAGCATATTGCCCTGAAATCTTGGGTAAACTCCATGATGTAGTAACAAACAATGTGGGGGGGGGGGCAGTGGTGGTTCCAGGCATCCTGTCAGGGCCTCTTCCCCAGCCAAAGGTAAAAAAGCAAAAGGCCCATCGTCTGACTTCCTCTGAGTTGCCATATTCTTCACGTCACAGGGACTGTGGGGACCATGAACTTTGGATGCACATCTGTGAGAACACAAGCTTTGTGGCCACATGCAAGCAGGTGTTTATATGATTTCTTAGGAATGGGCTGAACCAAGAAGCAACATTAGCTGGGCGCCTGGGTGGCTCAGATGGTTAGGCGTCTGCCTTCGGCTCAGGTCATGATCCCAGGGTCCTGGGATTGAGTCCCGCATCGGGCTCCCTGCTCCTTGGGAGCCTGCTTCTCCCTCTGCCTCTCTCTCTCTCTCTCTCTGTCTCTCATGAATAAATAAATAAAATCTTTATAAAAAAAAGCAACATTAGCTGATTCTGAGTCATCATTTTCAACAGTCTTCGTCCTTGGACCTTTTTCTGTGGTTTAGCTTGTTCAACAGATGCTTAGGTTATCTAATTTTTGGTTATTTATTTATTACAATTATTATTACTATTAATTCTTAGTATAAATAAAGTTTCTCTGAACATCCTTGTATATGTCTCTTTGATCTTAAGTCAAAGAACTTTTTGGATACCTACTATATGTCAGGGGGCCTTGTGCTGGATGGTGATAATGAATAGCACAAAAGTTCTGTTTCTTCAGGATCGCAGTCTAGAAGACAGAGCTTCACTATCAGTACCATCATTCATTACCATAGTAATCCAATTTGAACACTTAGAAAATGCCTCACACCGTGCTAAGCATTTTCAAGCATCTCATTTAACACTGTAATAAAAGTCATAGAATGATAATGCTGTGATCAATATAAGGGCCAGGAATGGGTCCATTTTACCTTGGAAGACAACAAAGATCTGAGGGGCCAGCTGGGTAAATCAGTCAGGGCATTCTAGGTAGACTTAGTCATGTGTACAAAGACATGGAAGAATAGCATGCTATAAAAAGAGTACAACATATTGGAGGGGTGGTGGAAAGGAAAAGAGTAAAGGAGGAAGAGGAAGGAGAAACAATAAAAATAGGAGGCAAGGGTGGGATCATTGAAGCACAAAGGAAGTCTAGACATTATCCTGAAACTAAAAAAAAGATGTGTTGAAGGATTTTAGAGTATAATATTATGATGAATCAAAGAGTTTTAAAAAATAACTTTGATAGTGGTTTAGAAGATAGAGTAGATGGGAGTAGAAAGGGAAATTCTAAATGCAGGGTGGCCAGATAGAGACAACTTTCCTCAGGAGACTGATGGCAGAACAGCCCCTGGGGATATGCTTGAAGAACACCAAGGAAACCAACACAACTGGAGCCACATGAACGTGGGGGAAATTACTAGGAGTTGATGTTAGAAGTAACAGGAGGCTGGATCATAGTGAGGCTTCTAGGCATTGCAAGAACTTGGCTTTTTACTCTGAGTGAAGTGGGATGCCATTGAAAGATTTTGAGCAGAGTAGTGACACAGTTTCATATTTTAATAGGATCATTCTGATTCCTGTTGAGCAAAAGTAGAAGTAGTGGTACCAAAACCAGGTAGGAGGGTATTGGAATAATCCAGGCCAGAGATGATGGTGGCTTGGACCAGGATTGCGGTAGCAAAAGGTCTCCTGATTGAACATGTGTAGAGGGAGAGACAAAGAGAAAAATAAGTATAACTCCAAGGGCTTTGGCCTGAAAAATTAGAGGGCTAAAAGCCATTAACTGAGATCCGAAATCCAGGTTGTAGAAGAACTTGAACAATGCCAGCTTTTCCCAAATTTCAGTTAATCATGTCATTATGTCATGATCTTCGTGATTTTTGCATTAACCATACACTATTTATTACTTATTTGGTATTCTTTTGAAATAGATGGACATTTTTAATGTTGCCTCATCCTAAACTCTACTATTTATGGGTTTATGAATCATAAATTTTCTTCCTTTTAAAAAAGATTTTATTCATTTGAGAGTGTGCGAGAGAGAGAGAACTTGAGCAGGAGGAGGGGGAAGCAGATTCCTCATTGAGTAGGGAGGCCAATGCGGGACTCCATCCTAGGAGCAGGAGGAGGGAGAAGCAGATTCCTCATTGAGTAGGGAGGCCAATGTGGGACTCGATCCTAGGATCCCAGGATCATGACCTGAGCCAAAGGCCGACACTTAACTGACTGAGTCACCCAAGCACCCTCCCCTTATTAAAGATTTTATTTATGAATCATAAAGTTTCTAATAAGCATGGTAGTCTATAACTATTTTTTAAAATATTTTATTTATTTATTTTAGAGAGAGACAGAGACAGAGAGCAAGCAGGGAGAGGAGCAGAAGGAGAGAGAAAAGCAGACTCAGTGCCAAGCGTGAGCCCAACTTGGGGCTCCATCTCATGATGAGGAGATCAAGACCTGAGCCAAAATCAAGAGCTGGATGTTTAACCGACTGAGCCACCCAGGCGCCTCAATCTGTAACTATCAAAAGTATTTATCTGTATATCTTGCAAAATCAACTTGCTTACCTCTCATGAAGCATGGACCACATTTGTAGAATTAGTGTTTTAAACAATAGAAAATCACTGACTCTATAGGAGTCTAAGTGACATAACAGGAGCTGGACTTCAGAGAAAATTCATTTGATGGCCATGGGTGGAATGATCAACTTCGGCCATTGTGGCAGGTAGGGAGATAAATTTAAAGCACAATCTGGCTTAGCATAATAAATCAGAAGAGGAAGAGACGTTTAAAAGAAACTTTATGATGAATTAGACGTGGGAGCAAAGGGAGAAGAAAATGTCATTATTGACCATGTTATAATCTGTGTTTTACAACGTGGCCAGTTAAAGTTCCTACATCTCAGACTATTTGACAGTCTTTCCAGGAGAAACCAGCAACTGTGGTTCCTGCTGAAATCCTCTTATAATGCAAAAGTTGAGGGCCACTGGTCACGAACCAGTGAACACAATCATAAGCACGTATATCTATTCTCCCTTGGCATCTTGTGAGCTCTGTTACAACTGAGCTTGCCTTACAGTCTGTTCTGTGTCTGTTATAGCCACATACATACGTTCTCAACACATTGTTGGTATGGTGCTGCCTTCTAGAAGAGTTGAGTATTGGCTCTATTAATGGAAACATCGAACTACCAGGAAAACGTATTTTATTTAAAAAAAAAAAAAGAGTCCAAGAGTTTTTTGGATTGGGGTGGACTCATCTGATCAGCTCATTAATTTCACTTTGAGAGTTGAATGAACCTCTGAACCAGTGTCAACAGCAACATTGCACACCTGAGTCAATCTAAATATGTACTTTCAGCTGTCCATTTCCTTGTTCAACATCCCTTCTTAATGTGTTGTGTAATGCATTTGTGGTAGCAAGCAGGGCTTTACCATAAAAGTTTCTCCGGTGATGCCAGATATGAGGATCTGAGTTTATCGAAGATTTCTAATTTTAGCTATGATTATGTTGTATTTTCCAAAATATGTGACAATATTTGCCCTCTTTGTCCCAAGTGTTGGTGCGCTGGACACTTTTATCGCTGTGGTCTATGAACATGCTGTTATATTACGTAATAGAACAGAAACACCTGTGCCAAAAGAAGAGGCTTTGCTCCTGATGAACAAGAACATAGATGTTTTGGAGAAAGCAGTTAAACTGGCTGCCAGGCAGGTATTTCCCCCCCCCTTTTTTTTTAATGCTGGCTGGGTTATTGTAAAGGAAATTTGAAACTTGGAAAGAGTGTGGGTATTTGGAATATATAAAAAACTTTTTTTGCTGCCACTTGTTTTGAGCAGGGTGCACATATCAACGTTACCTCAGAAGATGGAATTTATGGCTGGGTCTTCACGAGAGAGACCATTGACCCCTATCTGGAAAATATCCCAGACCCTGACATGAACTGGATTCCATGTAGAGATCCCCAGAGGTAATGCCATTACCCCTTGAATTTTGAACATAAAATTGTGATACTCTAAAATACAAATAGCAAATCCATTAAGCTTGACTAGTATTCTTGCTGGCAATAGATCTATGGCTCTGGACTTACAAGCCTCATAATACAGACCATCTGCCATGACTTGAAATGATGATGCTTGGTTGGTTATTTTTTGTGGTCTTCTTTAATTAATGGCATGTGTATAGAGTTTTTATAATAAATGGGCTTAATTGGGTTTCAACAAAGTGAAAAAGTTGTAATACCTGGGGCCTCTGTTCCCAAATAAAGGAAGTCCATCCATGAACACCTGCCTTCTTTGCACGAATGGTAAAAAGATAAATGAGCTTATGTTTCCAAAAGAGCTTTGACATCACTGTCATTTGGAATGTGATCAGTATGGGAATGGAAAGTGTGTGGGACTTGAAAAAGGAAGCATTGTTTCTGAGATCACAACATACCACTTCTTAGCTGAGTGATGTGTGGCAGGTAACCTGTACACTTGACATCTCTGTTTCTTTATCCATAAAACAGAGATAATAAAATCTACTGTTCTACTTCCTTTACAGAGTAGACAAGAGTGTCAAGGGAAGTAATACACATAGAATCTCAACACTGTTGTGTCTCTAATGTTAGCTGTCACTATTACTTTTTTTTTTTTTAACAAAAAGAACTGGATCTGAACTTCTTTGTTTTCTTGTCAGGGAAATGTTAGTAATTATCAATAGCTGCAGTTTAAGCATGATTTTCTTAGGGAAAATCTGTAAAAAACATAAAAAAGATATATGAAGTTATTCTAGGTGTATTTACTTTTTTAAATAGTTCATATGTAATTCCTTTAAAAGGCAAAATCTGCGCATTAAAAAGTAATTTAATTTGCTAATTTAAAATGTACATGCATCTGTTCAGAACTATATCTGTTGCACAAAAAAAGGGATATCTTTAGTAATTTTGACATTTGAAATTGACTGGGCAGTCAAGTCCGATGCTGCAACATAGGAGCTCTACTATGTGAGAATTTTTTTTTTTTTTTAAAGATTTTATTTATTGGGCGCCTGGGTGGCTCAGATGGTTAAGCGTCTGCCTTCGGCTCGGGTCATGATCCCAGGGTCCTGGGATCGAGTCCCGCATCAGGCTTCCTGCTCCTTGGGAGCCTGTTTCTCCCTCTGCTTCTCTCTCTCTCTCTCTCTCTCTGTCTCTCATGAATAAATAAAATCTTTAAAAAAAAATAAAGATTTTATTTATTTATCTGAAAGAGAGAGAGAATGAGAGAGAGCACATGAGAGGGGGGAGGGTCAGAGGGAGAAGCAGACTCCCTGCTGAGCAGGCAGCCCGATGCGGGACTCGATCCCAGGACTACAGGATCATGACCTGAGCCAGAGGCAGTCACTTAACCAACTGAGCCACCCAGGCACCCTATGTGAGTCAGTCTTGCCAAGGATTTTCACCTTTGAAAAAATATTCTCTGAGTATTGCAAGGTCTGTGTTTACAGTAACCACACAACTATAATCCAATGTTTACTTGATTATGGGTTTTGTTTGTTTTTTTCTAGAGCAGGAAGGACTCATTATTTGCAATGATTCAAGAGGCTGATACTAAAATTCACTCTGTTTGCCTGGGCTGATAAAACTGATTTTCCTAGGGGAAAGATGTCCCAAAGCCTGATAATTAATCTCAGATGAATTATTTTAAGTTGGGAAGGTAGGTGACCAATGAAACTTTAACTTATTGGAGTCTTGCAGACATTTATTCAAATGGTAAGTTTTCAGCTCTGAGTTATAAAAGAAGAAATCCAATATTTAATATAATGGCAATATTGGTTAAAAAAAAAGCCACCATTTCTTCCCTACTAATATTTATCTCTAAGGGGGATAATAGAGGGCCACATGGCCATCCCTACGTATTTAAATACTATCATTTAGAATATTGACACGTCTGAGCTTTACCCATGAGGAACTAACAGAAGATATTAAAATACTTAATTATATATCAAAAAGAAAGAAACAAAGGAAGGAGGGAAGGAAGGATGGAAGGAAGGAAGGAAGGAAGGAAGGAAAAAGAAAAAGAAAAGATGTGATAGTTTTATTGACGATCTTAATGAATAGCAATGTTAACAATATTGCCCTGTTTTTCCTGAGGGGGGAAGAAAAAAGAAATGGTTTGCAGCAATAGTCATAAATCTCTCCTTTCTGTTCAAAGATTAGCTCAACATCAACTGTAGAGGAGCTGAGAAATGATGGAGAGAACCCAAGGGCTTTTTTTTTTTAATGTTATGTTAATCACCATACATTACATCATTAGTTTTTAATGTAGTGTTCCATGATTCATTGTTTGCATATAA